TTTGGTTATTAAATGATAAAGGATAATTACGTTTTTGTTACCCAAGCAGCTACAAGGTTGATTTTGGTCATACTTCGTCAGTAAAACTCAAATATAATCACCTCAACGTATATTTAATCCGTTTTAAAACTAAAATCTTTATTAAAATCTAATTTATCACTTTTTTAAACGGGATATCACTATAAGTGTAATGGAGACTCTTAAAGCAAATTTCTTCTTCTTTTCAACTATAAAAGAACTATCAAAATAAGTCGAAAAACGATGGGAGTTATTTGAATTTTTCTCGATCAAGGTCAAGTCAGGTGGTCTGCCATATTGGATGGCAGCCATATTGGTACATGACCAACGCCGATCGTGGCAACATGCGTTTTCTTACTGTCCAAAGTGTCCTTAACAACAATCAAAAGAGAAAGTGCATCCGAATAATTTTGCATACTCAACCCCAACCACGGTCTGGTCTATTATGAGTATTCATAATTAAAGGGGATTAAAGAATTTAGTCAGCTGTTTTAACTAAAAAAGTTGGTTCTATGATATGCAAAAGCATTAAAATTTATAAGACTTACCAACAGGGTGCAGCACAATAATTCTTTTTGCTTTTATGAATACAGCTAATTTGAACCATTGACTATTTGAACTAAGCAGCAACAAAAAAAATGGGAATGCAATGAGAACTGTCAAAGTACGACTGTTTACAGTTATGTTTATGTTTTTAATTTCATGAATAATTTGTGATATTTTGCGAATTGTTAATAGTTTATCCGTCTCTGTTGTTTAGGTGAAGTGGTAGAACATTATGGCTATGGTAGATGTGTAATACTATAGTATGCTGTAAATTTTATATATTAAACAATTTTCTTCAAATTTGTCCTCCCCCATTGCGAACGCAAAGCTTGAGTATAACTGCAATAAGCATTTTATACTTATATGCCAACCCCGTACGAAGGACGGGTACTCTGCTTGTCTATATATATAAAAGGCAAAGCCCTCACTGACTCACTGACTGACTCACTCACTCATCACTAATTCTCTTACTTCCCATTTACCTAGGAGGCTGAAATTTGGTACACTGATTCTTTAGGCATTAAATAGGAAAACTAAGCTGTTTTTATTCTGATCGGACTCTCGGGCTCCACCCCAGTGGCTCTGGAGTTTCCCATGTTAACCTTATGAGTACTCATATTTAAATGGAATTAATGAATCTTAACAGCTGTTTCAATTAAACAAGTTGGTTCTGTTCTATGATGTTCAATAGCATTTAAGTTACAAGGATTACCAACAGGGTGCAGCACTATTATTTCTTTTACATTTATGACAACAGCTAATTTGCAACCAAATGAGTGAGCGTAGCGAACAAACTCCAACCTGGAGGCGAGTTAGCGTAGCGAACAAGCTAACCTGAAGGCAAGTGAGTGCAGCGAACGAGCTCCAACCTAAAAGTGAGTGAGCGTAGCGAACTAACTTCATCCAGGACGTGATTGAGCCATGCGAACGAGCTCACTTATGAAGTTAAACGGGGCAAAGCCCGCGGGTACAGCTAGTAAATATATAAATATATATATATATATCAATTTGAAAGGATAGTGTTTTTGGCTTCTAGGGACATTAAAATGAAAAAGTAAATCGGTCCCGGGTCCAAGTCTTACCATGAGACCTACGGTAATAGCTTATTCCCTATATGGGAAATTCGCTAAAATGCAGTGTTTGGCTAGTTATTAGTTGAGTTTGTAAGCTATAATTTTAAAAGTTGCCGTTTGTACAACTGAACCAAGTTAAAGTTAAGCACTATTATTTCTTTTACATTTATGACAACAGCTTATTTGCAACCAAAAGATGAGTGAGCGTAGTGAACGAGCTCCAACCTAAAAGTGAGTGAGCGTAGCGAACTAACTTCATCCAGGACGTGATTGAGCCATGCGAACGAGCTCACTTATGAAGTTAAACGGGGCAAAGCCCGCGGGTACAGCTAGTAAATATATAAATACATATATATATATATATGAATTTGAAAGGATAGTGTTTTTGGCTTCTAGGGACATTAAAATTAAAAAGTAAATCGGTCCCGGGTCCAAGTCTTACCATGAGACCTACGGTAATAGCTTATTCCCTAAAAGTTGCCGTTTGTACAACTGAACCAAGTTAAATGATTTGAAATGTCATTGTTGCACAATAATAATGATTGTGCAATATTGAATTTCATTGATAAAAGTTCAAATTGTGACGTTAATGTGTCTTTACAGCGTTTTAATGGGTTTGTCATCTGATTTTATACTATATTGTATTAACCGTATTTTTCATTACCCCCCTCCCCCCCCTATTAACTCAGGTGATCGAGTATCTAAACAATAGTACTGTAAACAATAGTATTGTAGCCTATGCTACTTGATTGTATTTTAACGAGCTTTATGTCAACAAAGCGTTCTGTGCTGAGTCGCGATGTAGCTTGTGTCTGTGCCACGCGTTATTATCTTTATCTATCTCAGCAGTTGAGCCATTCCGTGCCCTCATTCTTAGATCTCACGTCTTGCTAATCTTAATAATCTGAATAATAACTTCCTACACGAATCCTAGAAATTAGTATTTAAACTAATTGAATTCAATAATATAACTATTGTCATTAATTAATCGACTTTCTATCTGGTGACTTTGTAATATATTTTTGACTATCGTCACGTTGAACAATGTTGCAATCAACTTCAGCCACCCTGCATTTTTTGCAACCCTCCCAAGAATTTCAATGACACAGTCTGCGTCACAGCCCCCCCTTGTGGGCAGCCCTGGGTATATAAGCCTGATGCAGTACAAATGCGTTCACGCCAGACGCTGCATCAATAATAGTAAAAAAAAAAGAACTGGGGCTTGAAGAGTTGTTGGAGATTTTCTGGTCTAGGCTGTCAACTCCAGCTTTTGTGTGGTTGTACAGTCAAACCCAGTGCAGATCGTGAAGTAAAATCATTCCTTTACGGCTTTACTGGGGAAATAACCCTGTTATCATTTGTCCCCAAGCAGAAGAAAGCTGTGATAATGGTGTAATCAATGCATCACACTGCTGCAGATGACCCAGACACTGGAAAGCCAGATATCATAGCCCTGTCAGGGTTAACAAATGATAACAGGGTTATTTCCCCAGTAAAGCCGTAAAGGAATGATTTTACTTCACGATCTGCACTGGGTTTGACTCCAGATCGAGATATTCAAGGTGAGTCGGGGTATCATTTTTGATTATCATATTTCAATTTCATAGCTCTAATTTTTCCATTCGTCCAACGCACGATTTCATCAAGGATATTTTGTGTCATAAGCAGTTCCCATACTTCAAAGGGTGATGGGCTATCACCAAGATTTTTCGCTTTTGTCTTTAACCCTGGAATGTGAGTAATAATGTTATGACCCCGTGTTCTTGTGTTTGATGGGGGCATGGTCTTCCTCCATTTGAAAGCACGCTTAGTTTTGGTTGGTTTCCCATAGTAAAATAGATTTGTTACACGCCTACGGATCGGTTGCTCTTCACAGTTGTCTTGCATATCCATTGGATCTCCAGCACCATCAATGAATGATTTCATTCATGAGGCTTTGAATGATTTCATCTCTACATGATTATTATCCTCACATCTACAGTTTCTTCTCAATTTATTTGTTGGTGATTAACCACATCTGGCTCACCCTGTTGGACTAGTTTGTTTTCTTGTGATGCTCCCTGTAAATTTTCCTCGTCATCAGCAGAAGGAGGAACTAAATCACATTCATTTTCATTTTCACTCATTTCTTGTTCCGACTTACTGTTATGAATACTTTCAATAACATAATCTGAATCCTGATTACTATCTTCACTATCATCAGACTTGTCTGGTGGATCGTCAAGGCATTCTTCCAAATATGCCTCATAGTTTCATGAGGCAGTACTTACAAAACGCCTCGGCCTACTTCTTGTAGGGTCTTGAACAGTAGAAGTTGAAGGTATTTTGGCTGTGTTTGAGGAATCCATTTCGAACCACTGTGATGTCCATAAGTTACGCAATTACTATACACTGTCTATGAGACGTCACAATGATATATCTAAAATTACATAATCACTATACAACGTTCACGAGACGTTACTATGATAAGTAAAAAATTACGTAATCACTATACCACGCTGAGAGACGCAAATTCAAAAAGTCGGAACACTTTCACTACACAAAGGCCACCACTCGACTGAAAAGTATTGGGTGGGACTGGTTTTTAGGTGGAAGGGTGGGGGGGGGATTGGAGTGGGGAGTTTGGCTGACGTCCACGAGACATCGGTATAGTAGTTAAGGGTTAAATACAGACCGAAGACACCAAAGGTGTAGGCTAATCAAAATCGCCATTACTAAGAAATATGGGTAAAATAGGCACTATTTGAAGTCTCTGGCAAACTTTAAAAATAGACGGAATCTGATGGTTTATGTTTGTTTACATAAATTAGTTCATAAACTTTCATAATATATAGGCTTTAGTAATTTAAAAAACAATATTTAACAAAAAATTACTTTAACAACTTTTGATAGGTACATGTATACGTTTTTTCAAAAATATTTTACCAACACTCTGAGGGGTCCTAATTCACGATAAACCCCATAAACATATATAGGAGTAATCATTTTACACAGTTTTATCTTTTATGATTATATAGTTATATACAAAAATTTTTTTTTTATCTATAACGGTCTCACGGACAGAAGAGCAATAAATTTGTGATAAAATCCCCTTCGCAGCAAACCTGCAGTTAGTCTGCAGGGCGAATTTCCATTTGCCTGATTGAATTTACTCTTAAACATCTCCTTGCAGTAATAAAATGTAATTGTTTCCATAGTTATTGGTTTTTGCCTTCCCATTAAACTACGAAAATAACAATGATATATACCCTCATTTTAATTTTAATTTTTGTCATAGAGACAGAGGACACAATATTGCCTTCCTAGGGCAAACCTCTAGAGGGAACTGCACTATCATGTCATTCACAGAATGTGTGCAAGTACCTGAGGTGTGATGGGAGGTGGTAGTTGTGTGATCGCAGGGTCCTCCTGGTCCAGGGTTACAGGAGTTCCTTGACAGTTGAGAGACAGAGGACACAACATTGCCTTCCTAGAGCAAACCTCTAGAGGGAACTGCACTATCATGTCATTCACAGAATGTGTGCAAGTACCTGAGGTGTGTTGGGAGGTGGTAGTTGTGTGATCGCAGGGTCCTCCTGGTCCAGGGTTACAGGAGTTCCTACACAGTTGAGAGACAGAGGACACAACATTGCCTTCCTAGGGCAAACCTCTAGAGGGAACTGCACTATCATGTCATTCACAGAATGTGTGCAAGTACCTGAGGTGTGATGGGAGGTGGTAGTTGTGTGATCGCAGGGTCCTCCTGGTCCAGGGTTACAGGAGTTCCTACACAGTTGAGAGACAGAGGACACAACATTGCCTTCCTAGGGCAAACCTCTAGAGGGAACTGCACTATCATGTCATTCACAGAATGTGTGCAAGTACCTGAGGTGTGTTGGGAGGTGGTAGTTGTGTGATCGCAGGGTCCTCCTGGTCCAGGGTTACAGGAGTTCCTTGACAGTTGAGAGACAGAGGACACAACATTGCCTTCCTAGGGCAAACCTCTAGAGGGAACTGCACTATCATGTCATTCACAGAATGTGTGCAAGTACCTGAGGTGTGATGGGAGGTGGTAGTTGTGTGATCGCAGGGTCCTCCTGGTCCAGGGTTACAGGAGTTCCTTGACAGTTGAGAGACAGAGGACACAACATTGCCTTCCTAGGGCAAACCTCTAGAGGGAACTGCACTATCATGTCATTCACAGAATGTGTGCAAGTACCTGAGGTGTGATGGGAGGTGGTAGTTGTGTGATCGCAGGGTCCTCCTGGTCCAGGGTTACAGGAGTTCCTTGACAGTTGAGAGACAGAGGACACAACATTGCCTTCCTAGGGCAAACCTCTAGAGGGAACTGCACTATCATGTCATTCACAGAATGTGTGCAAGTACCTGAGGTGTGTTGGGAGGTGGTAGTTGTGTGATCGCAGGGTCCTCCTGGTCCAGGGTTACAGGAGTTCCTTGACAGTTGAGGGACAGAGGACACAACATTGCCTTCCTAGGGCAAACCTCTAGAGGGAACTGCACTATCATGTCATTCACAGAATGTGTGCAAGTACCTGAGGTGTGATGGGAGGTGGTAGTTGTGTGATCGCAGGGTCCTCCTGGTCCAGGGTTACAGGAGTTCCAAGACAGTTGAGAGACAGAGGACGCAACACTGCCTTCCTGGGTCGAACTTCTAGAGGGAACTGCACTATCATGCCATTCACTCGTTTCTTTACAAGTTCCTGTAAGTAAACCATTGTTTTTACTGAAGAGATAATCAATTGTTTATTAATGAGAGACCATGAGATAAATTTGGATGGTTGAACTTTTTGAAAGTCAGGATATAATGATTGATTGATCCTGTCCGAGTTAATAATGTTTTCTAAAGAACTAAAAATCAATTTTTGTTTAATACAATAATACAGTAATTTTGCTGTGCAAACACAGTAAGGTTAGAGATAATGTAGCTGCCTGATCAGAGATACTTATCACAAAGAAACCCAATCCCATCAACCCATCCGAGTCATCTTATTATTTTTCACTTAATAAGACTAGAAATTGGTTTGTATGTTGTAGTAGTAATATTTAAAATTCCATTGTTTTATCATTACACTCAATTCTCCTAACCAATTAGTTTTGGAAAACCATTATATTTCAAAACTAACAATAGTTAAGAAAAAAAGCAAAAGAAAAGGAAACCATAAAATATTTGTTTATATATTTACAATTAAATTGCTTAAATTTACCTAGTACTTCACAAACAGTGTTTTTGTTGGTAAACTAAGGAACCCTTACTTCAAAACTGTGCATTTCTTCTTTGAGCTGATTAATATCTTCCATAAAGATATCAGATCTGTGATGAAGATCCTTGAAAATCGCTTTGTGTTCATTCATTAAGTGTTTGCCCTGCAAAAAAAATATTACTATAAAGAGGATACATCTATATATTAATTACGTAAGGAAATTCTTTATGTCAAAATTGTGAGTGACTGCGATGTCGTAGAACGACGGGAGAGGGCTCAAATTAAAGGTCTCTTTTCCGTGATGGCGGGGAAAATAGTGAAATCCCCAATATGTTAACACAAAATTAGATATAGCCTAACGTAAAATGTTCCCCTTAAGAATAGCATTGAAAACCATACACAGCTGATTTTTGTTTAATTAAATATAGGTGATCGCACTATATCTCTAAGCCAGTATTCAATACACGCAATTGGTTTACTTCTTAGCCAGTTAACTCTGCAATGTACTGTATATAGATTAAAACCAGGGATAGGGTTATCTATAATGAGACTTTTTGAAAACCAAAAACCAAACAAAAGAATTTTCGTGTTAACTGTCAGTTCTGGTGGAAAGGCATTTCGTGATTGGCTTCTACAACTGGGAAATGGAACCCTAAAAACCATAAAATATTACGCAATGTGGCTAATAAAACTGTTTATTTTTTGTATAGTACTTATTTACTTCCCTAAAGTTTCATCACAATCGGATGGTAGTTTAGTATCGCATAAAGGAAAAACATACGACAGACAGACAAACATAGGATTTCATCTATAGATAATAACAAAGTAACCATAGAGACTTTTTTACACAAAGATATGGTGTCTATCTTGACAAATAAATAATTGAGACTTTTTGATAACCAAAAACCAAACAAAAAAATATTATCTTGTCAACTGTCAATTCTGATGGAAAGGAATTTCGTGATTAGCTTGGACAACTAGGAAATGGAACCCTTAAACCATAAAATATTACTTAATTTGGCAAATAAAACTGTTCATTTTGTATGGATACAGTAGGACTTATTTACTTCCCTAAAGTTTCATAACGATCCAATGGTCGTTTAATAACGCATAAAGGACAAACATACCACAAACAAACATTGGATTTTCATATACAGGGTGTTTCAAAAAGGACTTAACAACTTTGATAGTTTATATAAAATTAATGAAACAAGGCACCAAGCTGGTTTTGTTGTTGTTTTAAAGGGAAACACATCAAGTTTTGATTCGCGCAATACACCAGTGCTTAGTCGCGCCTCATAAGCAACACAAGCGCTAGCGGCAGTTACGTTAAAAATGGCTGTGTTCACTGGACCCCGAGGATGCTAGAGCTGTGTGTTCTGGTTTGACAAATCAAAGTCGGGGACAACAGGTCAGCGTAATTTTCTTACCAAATACGTTAAAAGTCCTCCTTGGGGCAGTGAAAATCCAAATGAAACATTGCAACATGTTCGAGATAGCGCTGAAGTGAACGTTTTTTTGTGCGTTGAGCAAGAGGAAAATGCATGCCCATTTTTTTTCCAAGAGAGAACCATTAGCGGGATAGTGTTCCTTGATATGCTGCAACAATTTTTGATACCACAGATCGATGAGGATGACCAAGAACAAAATGTTTACTTCATGCAAGATGGCGCACCACCACACTATCTGACTGACGTCCAGTATTTTCTCAATGACCACTTTCCAGGTCAATGGATTGGCCATGATGCGCCAATTGCATGCCCCCCCCCCTGATCTGAATATTCCCCTGACCTGACACCGCTAGTTTCTTCTGGGGTTTCATGAAAGAAGGTGTACGTAATTCCTTTGACGGTCACTTTACCTGAACTTAAAGTACGAATTAACGCTGCCGCCGAGCAAGTTACGCCTGAAATGCTAGTGAGAGTCTGGGAAGAAATCGACTACAGATGGGATCCCCACAGGATAACTAAAGGCAGCCACATAGAAAATCTTTAGTTTAAGGTAAAAAAAAAAACTTGAAGTGTTTTCCTTTAAAACAACGCCAAAACCAGCTCTGTACCTTGTTTCATTAAAGGTATATGAGTTTTCAAAGATGTAAAGTCCTTTTTGAAACACCCTGTCGTTTACCGGGTGTCCCACGTAAGGTGTCTCAAATTGATTACGGAAAAACTGCTTAACGTACAAGGATGAAATCATTTCCCGCTAAGTTATTACCGCCAAGGAATAACGTAAAAATATTTTTAACTTTTTTCCCGATACAGGGATGTGTCAAAAACTGAGGGTCACTAGTTTAAGTCATGTTATACATTATTTGAAAGTATAACAGTTTATTTTTAAAATAGCGACAGTTTTTTTTATCGATATGTTTTTTATACTTTGTGTTTCCTATACCAACACACTTAGCCCTTCTCCGGTTGAATTATCTTACTCGTTATGAACTTAGCTTTACTGTGATATGCTACAAGTAACGGTTATTTGGAATAATAAAAATTCCAGAAAAATTGATTTTTGAAAATTTGCAAATGCCCATGTTGTTCAAAATTTTCAAATAGCAACATATATGTCAATTGGCACATTATTTTATAGGTTTTTTTTCAATTCTTAACAACTTTGAAATTTACACTTACTTCATATCTATTTTAGTTTTTGTGTAAATAAAAAAATCCTAATTTTCCTATATCAAATTCATGTTATTTGGGTTTAACACTAAATTAAATGGGGCCAATAGTTGTGTTAAATGAGTATGCTGTCTATAGAAAAAGAAAGTTATAGGCCTGAGAATTCAGCCGTGATGGAATTATAACAGGTTGTTGTTACATTACAATTACAGTCTAATCTTCAAGAAGAACTAGTACCGGTAATATTGGGATGAATCAAATTTTAAAAATGAGTTTTGTAATTAAAAATTTTTGATTTAAAAATTCATTAAATATTGGTGATGTTTTTATTTTAAATGTTAATAATAGTCTACCTATACCTTTATAGAGAAGCTAATAACGGATGAGATAAAGATACTGATATTAACTGTTACTTTAGTACAAGTACTTCTGAGAAAAGAAGCATATAAACCTGAATGTCAGATGAGCAAATGGACTCGTGTACTCCATCCCTATTTTATACTTTAAATAAATTATTATCTTATAAAGGCGGCTCCAGACATGCACCTTTTGCCAAGCACCGAGCAGCGACTCGCCGAATCGCGAGTAGTGTGGATAGGCGTTTCTCTAATTGGCAAGCAGCTAACATTCCTGCTCGTGTTTTCCTATTCATTGTCGGTATTTTTGCACACATCAAAGTGAACAAATATTTGTTATTCCCGAAACAAACAAAAAACGTACAGTAGCTTGGAAAAAACACATGTGTGTAGACATCTACTCGTTAATCAGCAAATAGACAACTATTTCGCCGAAAGTCAAGTATTTTGTGTTTGGCGAATGGCGAATGTCTGGAGCCGCCTTAACAAAGTAAAAACAAACAATGAATTACCTCACACATGATCAAAGCAGTTTCCCAAGTGCTTGGAGCTATGATTTGTCCACTCATATACTGGTCAAACTCCTCTTTGTCCATGTTTAGGTTTTCAGCTGTCAAGTTCTCAATAAACGACACAGCACAGCACTGAAAGGCAAAGACAGTAAATCTAAATGATACAAAAGGTCCAGTAGATACAGGGTGAATAAAAAGTCAAGACCCCCCCACCCCTCTAATATTTTTTCAAGTAAATTTACAGAGATATCCTTTTGGTGGTCGTGAAATCTTAGCAGGAAGTTTCATTTTATGATTTTGAAATTTTTGAGTGTCCCCCCAAAAGGGGGGATTTGGGGGGCAACTCAAATATTTTAAACGGAAAACCCCCTTCAAGTGACACCTCATTTTGAAGTGTTTACAAAAACTTAAAGAATGGTGAAAACTAGAGGTCGCTATCTCTTCTCTATCCAAAATGGTAGCCCGTCAAATGTTGTGAAAATAAACAATGGTAAAATTGGTTCGTGATGGTAATATTGGCTACCATTTTGGATAGAGAAGAGATAGCTAACTCTGGTTTTCAGTGTTTTCACTATCTTTAAGTTTTTGTAAACACTTCAAAACGAAGTGTCACTTAATGGGGGTTCACATTTAAATTTTTGAGTGTCCCCCCAAAAGGGGGGATTTGGGGGACAACTTAAGATTTTTTAATGTAAATCCCCATCAAGTGACACCTCATTTTGAAGTGTTTACAAAAACTTAAAGAATGGTGAAAACCAGAGTTCGCTATCTCTTCTCTATCCAAAATGGTAGCCAATATTACCATCACGAACCAATTTTACCATTGATTTTCCACAACATTTGACGGGCTACCATTTCGGATAGAGAAGAGATAGCGACCTCTAGTTTTCACCATTCTTTAAGTTTTTGTAAACACTTCAAAATAAGGTGTCACTTGAAGGGGGTTTACTTTTAAAATATTTGAGTTGCCCCCCAAATCCCCCCTTTTCCCCAAAAGTGCATAGGTTTTGCATTTTTACATTTATTCCCCCCAATTCCCCCCCGGACACTCAAAAATTTCAAAATCATAAAATGAAACTTCCTGATAAGATTGAACGACCACCAAAAGGATATCTCTGTATATTTACTTGGAAAAATATTAGAGGGGGGGGTCTTGACTTATTATTCACCCTGTATAATGAAAAATCAAGGCCACACTAAAAAAACAGGCCGTAATGCTCGCCAAGCATGACGTCACGATAGAAGACGGCTATGACGTATAAGTACTTATTTATTTATTTTCCAATGAAAGATTAAAACAAGCATCTGATCACAAATGGCAAAATTACGTCATTGCCGTCTTCTATCGTGACGTCATGCTGGACGAGCATTACGGCCTGTTTTTTTAGTGTGGCCTTGTGAAAAATAGTGGGGGTAGCTGAAAAGTATTCCGAATTTGAGGGAATTTTTACATGTTGTCTGGGGGTACTCTGGGATGTATATCCTGAGTTTTCAACCTCTAGTACCCTGTGCTAACTTTAGGAGGGGCCAAAAACATCAAAACTTTCGGTATTTTTTATGTTTTTTGTGTATATGTTGTGAATTAGGGGGGCCACCAGTTGACCGACAAGATACTTGGTCGTTTAGCCACTAGACCGTCTTTTTTAATTAAATAGATAAATACTGAAAACCAGTACGTCGACAAGTTATTTCGTCGTCAGTCCAGTTGACCGGCCTGGAAAACTTAATTATTATATGCGAGAAACAAACTGTTCGCCAATCGACCCGGCCGACATACAACTTGCTCGTCTTTTAGGTGGGTATGTGTTGAGCGGCAGCGCCAGCAGCTGTGGAGGACGCTGCAGGCGTACCAACTTCAGTTTCTTGTAGTGGCGGTTTTTATTCCGACGATTTTCAGCTATCACAATGCAGCGGACTAGCGAGGTTTTTTATTACGTGTAATTGTTTGTTTCTCAATCGATATATTTTTGAGATACAGTACAGTGAATATAAATAGTCCTATATTAGTTTACTTCAATTAAATAAATGTTTTATTTTAGCTAAAAAAAAAACCCCGATTGAACAAATAAAATTGTTAAAGACAACAGGAAGTCCTTAAGGTGATAAAAAGGTTTTTATCTTTACTAAAGAATTACTGAAATTTGTTAACTTACTGCTGGCGACAAGGGTGGTACCATGCATAGGTTTATCAATAAATAAGATAAACATGGACAACGTTATGCGGCTATAAGTTAGGAAATATTTGTAGAAACATTAAAAAGCAATACCAAGTTATGAAATATCGTAAAATATTTACAGGAAATGTTGATTACTGTATATACATCGTGAGTACATGAGTTACACACCGGTGATTTTTGAGTTGACTCTTTTAAACTCATTGAAAATATGACTGTTTTTCGTTTTGAAATAACTTCTGTAATACTTTGAAATTTCTCGAATTCGAGCAACATGTACACGAGTTTGAATATTAATTAACTAACATATTTTTGTAATAGCAGGGTCAAATATTGTGAACAGTGGTGAGGTAACTACCGTTACATTTATTCAATAGAGAAATAAATACAAAATTGATAATACCGGTTATTTAAAGCCTCGTTGTCTTTATTTTTCTCTATTAAAAAATAAAATAAAGAATGAATTTTAGACTTTTGGTGACATTAGTTTGTACTATTTCTCCTTGAATGACACTGCTGTCTTGGTAAGCAATAGTTATCTCGGTAAACTATTTATTTGCTGAAGTGCTCAGTGTGCTACTTAGCCTGTCCTGTGAAACGTCTTTTGTTTTATGATTTTGTTGTAGGCCTATTGAAAACCTCGTCTAGAAGGAATTCATATTGCCTGTGTTACCGGGGAGAAGTTTTTTCTTAGTAAAGTCTGTACACGTCTACGGTTTTAAACATAAACATGTAATTATAATTGAAGAAGTACATGTTTTATCCTCTCACATTGTTGCATGGACAAAACTATGGTGATTCAATTCTGTGTACTTCAATTGTCTAACTGGCCCTAACTGACGCATCCTTGTTTTTTTTCACGAAATAATGTAGTCTTTACTTCCATAGATCTTTCGTTTATTGTGTAACTGTCCTCAAGTAAGTCTGTGTTCTGATTAAGTACTTCAAATGCACGACACTACTGTATATTCAGATTTTCTAATGTACTATTTCCAAGTTCATCTGGACGACCTTGCAAATCGTTACTAGTTAAAATTGTTTTTAGTTTTTATTTGGTTTATGTTTATGAACTTGTGTGAGTGTTATTAACTAAAGCTCTATATTCACATCAAATTAATTTATTTAATTTATTTCAATAGTATTTTTAATTAATTTCAGTTTTAAGAACGTATAGTAAATAAATCATTGTTGAAACGGTTGTACTATCAATCCAATTATTTTCAAACTCAAAGATTCCTGGACGGCAATTTTATAATACTAGTTGGAGCAGAGGTACTGGATCTAGGGTTAATAATTAGTGTCATGATTGTAATACTCTGTTTATTTCTTATACTGTAAAATATTTTACCTACGACCGTTTTTTAAAGTAGCCGTTTCAGTACAGTTCTTAGAATTGAAAAGTATCTCATAACAGCATTGTTTACTTTCATAACAGCATAGTTTTACTCATAACAACACGGGTAACGGACCAATGAGGTTCAAGGATTGAGAGAGGAGAAGCAAAATTGTAATCATTCGAAATTCAACTAATCAGCTGTTCAGGCCAATTTAATTGTTGATTGGTGCAATTAGTGAATTAGTGTTTGATTCCTTACTTCACTGTCAGTGGCAATGAGAGGTTATAAACAAAAACATAACCTCTCTTAGAAGTTATGAGTAGTGATTTTTAGTAATTAAAACACCGTCGTAGGTAAAGTAGTGTACGCAACTCGCGTAAATAGTGTTAACGACACAAGTAGAAAATTTAAGGTACGAGCCTTGGCGAGTGCCTTAAAAACTTCTACGAGTTTTTCTACGAGACACTATCTTTACGCAATCGTTGCGTAAGCTACTATATGGCCAAACCACCGCAGGTGAAGCCTTGAGTATAGTATTTAATATGCCATTACATAAGCTAATACGATAAAAATCATTGGCAGCGTTATTAAGAAATGTAAGCGTGGTAAGTCGATCGAATAGTGGAACTAATTATGTGGAATGTTTGCTGAATATCATGAGACACTGTGACGTTTGACTTCTTTCTAAAGTCAACGAACTCTGATAACCAATGTAAATTTTAATCCAATAGACCATGTGGTCCTAATGTGGTTTTATGTCAAATGCTCTTTCATTTTCAAAATGAGCTCGCACGCATCAATCTAGCACGTCCTGGTTGATGTTCGTTTACTACGCTCAATCCGGATATTGTGGCTACACAAATGCCAATAAAAATAATGAATTATAATCAGCTATTCGCTTAGTTAATTTTGAAATATTTAAATTGTTCAGATCAGACAAATTGACAACAAAAATTGCGTTGTAAAAAGGCACTATGACATATTTCTGATGAAGGTATGCGAAGGGGTGGCAAGGTCATCCAACGCGGCTTCTCTTTCATCTACGCAGTACTAGGCTTCCCTGGACTTCCCCAATACTTTCGTTCTCACGCTAATGAAGGTCAGGTCAGGTTGATTGGAAATGGAAAGAAGTTGTAAAAGGTGCTTGTCATATTTAAGATAGTTTCTATTCATTTAGGGCTTATAAGGGTGTTGTTAAGTTAGGGAAAGCAGACGCGGTGGCGTTCCTTTGAAGATATTGACCGCCCTAGTGGCAAGTCCCGCACCCGTGGACTTTCCCCAAGACTTTGGTTCTCACAGTTATGTACGTCCAGAGAATTGTAAATTAAAACTGATTTATATAAGTTCCTCGTTATTTTTATGATAGTACCTTACCTATTCAGTGAAAGTTTTTAGGGGTGTTCTTAAGTAAGAGAATAGGGATACAGACACGGTGGCGTTCTTTAGAAGTGGTAGGTCCCACTCCCGTCAACTTAAATATTTGAAGGGTTTGGTATTTTTTTTCTTTGGAGTAAATATAAGCATTGACTATATATATATAGTCAATGATATAAGGCAAGGACTTATAAAAATCTTAGCAACAACATTATTTTCTTCCGCGTTCTCTTCCCATTGCGATCACTTACATAGTTAAGTCTTTTTTGTTTTACTTGCGATGTCAGTAATGCTCCATATTTATTATGTTGCCAATTTATTGTTAATTTGTATTTTTCAAGTTTCCATGTTAGTTTTACCTGATATTCTCACTCACAGCAATGGCCTTTTCGAACACATACAATTAATATTGGCACGGGCTTGGAAATATGTTTCAAATCAGGCAAAAGTACTTGGGATCACACGATTAGCCGACATTTATATTATAGAAAGGATTTCATGTGCTCTAAATAACAATCTCTCTAGACATCGCCAGAAGTTATTTTCGGTTATATTCGGGCAACTTTGTCTAGCGATCTTTTAAGCTCATGATACCCAACATCTGTTGACCGTTATTAAGTCACTGGTATCGCGGTTGGTTAGTAAGTATCCCTTTGGTTAGTAATACATCATAAAACCCAAATACATTATATAATCAATGTTCAATAGCATTCATAGGAATGCCCTTTTCCTTTGTATTGTATTTTGTAATTTGTTACTGTAGTATAGACTAGTTGTTTCCAGTTAATAATATTAACTATACAGTATTTAAAAATCTTTAAAAACTTTTAATTACCTTTTAACTTATCAATACGAAAAAAAGGAAGAACTTTTAAGCGCATAACTTTTAATTAACCATAAATAAAAATCTTAAGCTCAATACTGTTTTAATAAAGGTTTTAACACAGTAGGCTTAGAATACTGACTGACAGACCAGTTAAAATGTTCATCTTACTTTTAAAATGTTAAATAAGAAAGTCTTCACATACTATGTTTTTTGTAAACACTCTAACGTCTTTAGCCAGATGACCTTGGTTTCGTTGTTCTTTAACCATTATTTGTAGATCATCAAAAGTGTGGCATCTTGACATTGCTACGTACAATTCCCCATGCTGAAAGCAGGGGATGCAGCCCTGGCAGATATAGACCAACTTTTCAAGTGTCTGTCCTTTAATTTAGTAATAGTCATGGCAAAAGAGATTCGACATGGGAACTGTCGACGTTTGAATTTTAGAGGAAAATTTCCTTCTGATGGTTTTAAGCTTAATTGGGGGAGTAACACTCGTTTTCCAGCTGAACAGGTAATAATTTCAAGACTTAGGACTTCATCATTCATCTCTTTCACCATTAATCTGATTCTATTAACCAGTCCTTTTTGTGGATTTAAATTTCATAGTAAAATTACAATTACACCTTTTTTTTGGCATAACTTGCGAGAAGGTAAGTAGGTAAATAGGTAAGTGGGTAGGCACCCACTTGGTGCTTAAGTGGGAAGAAATTCAACAGGCACATGTAACTGGTCTCCCTCTTCTTGAATCAAAGTGTCCACTGAGTAGTAAACTCGGCTGTCATCATTTAGTTGCTCAACTATTTTATTATTTATTTTGTCACAAAGTTCATTCTTTGGTGAAAGTATTGCATGATGTTTTTGTCCTTTTTAAAACATCTTCAGAGAATCCTTAACTGAAGATTTTGTCAATAATAATTTAATTCACAATACATTGGGGCGGAAGACGTATCAATGACTCACCAAGATCATTATGGTACTATGGTAGCTCTCTTAGCCATTCCCTATTCATAAAAGATATTCAGCAAATATTGATTCGCTTGGATTGGCTTTCATGTTTTTAGCAAGTAAAATCTTTTTAAACATTGGCCATAAAGGCGATCTAATTATTGAGTTTTCTACTATTGCACAGCGAGTCGCGCCAGGTACTATGGGAGCACATTGCCGAAAATGACCTACCAAAACAATCACCTTTCCACCAAAAGGCTTTTCTTTGTCTTCTCTTCTGGCAATATCTCGCAGTAATCTTTCTACAGACGATAAAGCTTACTTATTAGACATATGAGCTTCATCCCATAATATTTCTTTACAATTCCTGATATAAATCTCCCTAACTCTCTGAATGAAACTATCCCATTTCATCAGTAATCCTTGTATTGGAAAGTCAACTGATAAATAAACAGAAAAAGTAAATATTTAAATGGCATAAGGGAAAGAGGTTATTTTTATAAAGACAGATGTATTTTTAAAGAAATGAATCATATGTTTGATAAACTTAACTAAATGTTCACTTATTATTTGTTTTATGTTTTTTTGCTACTATCAACAAAACATGCGATTCACCACTGAGCTTAAACATCGCGTACTATACTTCCAAACCTATCGTGAAGTTTGAAATTGGGAACACACTAGATCGGCATGTTATATTGATCGCAACTTGGGGTATGTATGATTGCCCAAGTAAGTAAGCCTTAAGTAGTTTTTTTAACGTTTTACAAGAAAATACCTAATTCACATAAGAGTGTAATATTAAGGACAACTTCGGAATGCATTCTCAAAAACTGCATGAAATGAAGACGAACCATAAATAGCCGAAATGCACGAACAGCTACGGACGGCAATATTTTGAGATAGTTCAATCATAGATTAAAAGAAGTCCTTTTATGGTTCAATGTAGAACAATTGCTTAAAAACAATGATTTTCATAAGTTGTATGTACATATTTTAATAAAATAGACCTTATAAGGTTTTGTGAAGACTGTTTGTGCGATTATATATCAACCAGAACTGTAGGTTCATCAAATGACATTAGCAAGCAAACATAGAAAAAAACCGATACAAAGGATACCGAATGTTAGTAATGTACAATTTTTATTTGTGAAACTTCTTGTATGTGTTGATGGTTCTGATTCTCATATGATAAGCTATTAGGTAAGACCTGGACTGGACCTGGATAGACAGACAGAAATTGAGATAAAACATTAAAAGCTTGTTAATGTATAAACGCAAAAATACATAATTCTGAACAGTGTACAGACAAAACTCTAATTTTATTTGCAGATATTTTATATACACAACCATTTGATTAACTGTATTTTTTTCACTTCTATAACAGATTTCCTTTCTCATGACGCTTGATGAACGACTTATACACCTAATAACAACTTACTTAAATAGGCAATCTTAACAAACTACTGTTGCAGTAAACTTAACTGTTACACATGTTTGAAATTTACAACATCTTGCAGAATTACAATACTTTGTGCCTGTTGGCTACTATGAATCGTTCGGATTAATTTCAGATATTGAAACATTTTTTATATAGGCCTACACAAGGTAAATTTACCTCCATGTTACCCATAATTATATACAGGTCCTATATATTATAGATGCCATATTATAAATACCATATATAAATACCATATTACCTCACTACAAATTTAATTCTACAATATACGGTACGTAGTTTTATCCAAACAAACGATCAAAAAACCCGAATGATATTGTTATTTGATTCAATAGTCAATGCGAATGCACATAAGCGAGTCTTATCTTTCAAAGCAGATTAAATAATACAAAGGCAAAGGAATGCGCGAGAACGAGGTCACGTCACGGTTGCTATAGAAACGACGAAACTATCCATTAAGAATTGCGCGCCAACGTCAACTAAACGCCAGACTGTATAAACACGCCGCGTGTGTAGTGTTCGACGGAGCTAGTACTTTCAGTTGGCAAGACTGGGATCTTGCCTCGAGCGACGTGGTTCAACCATGGGAAGCGCCTCAAACTCCTGGGTAATCCCGGTTAGCTCCTCCCACTCTGTCCCCTATCCCCACCAAAAAGACGAGCAATTGTTAAGTCGGTAGGGTTGATTGCCGAGCAGTTTGTTTCTCGCATATAATAATTTAGTTTTACAGGCCGGTCAACTGGATTGACGACGAAATACCTTGTCGACGTACTGGTTTTCAGTATTTCTCTATTTATTTAAAAAAGACGGTCTAGTGGCCAGACGACCAAGTATCTTGTCGGTCTACTGGTAGGCTCCCGAATTTATGTACCATTGGGTAGAGCATAAAATTTGCTAAATGTTGGTTGCCAAAAAAATTTTGTAGAC